CATCAGGTGCTCCAGCAACTGCTGCTGCAGCAGCAGCTGCTGCAGCAACTGCTGGAGCAGACGCGGGGGGCATCGTGCTGCTGGTGGGCGCTGCCTTACTCGCGCTGCTATCAGCAGCAAGGCGGAGCGGCTGCTGCTGCGGCGGGAGCTGCAGCAGCAGCAGCGGCAGCAGAAGCGGAAGCAGCAACACGGGGATGGACAGCAGCAGCATCAGCAGCAAGAGAGAAGCAACGCGCATGCATCTGCTGCAGCAGCAGGACCCTCAGGCTGGAGAACGAAGGCGCCACGAGGCAGCAGCGGCAGAGGCAGCAGGCGGGGAGTCTCTGTATCAAGCGCGCTGTAAGAGACAATTAATAAAATAAAAATAAGCATTAACAGAGACAGAGAGACAGACAGGTAGACAGACAGAAATACAGTCGGAGACAGCAGCGAAGCGCGGTAGATTTACTCCCCCTTATCTATTGCTGCCGTAGGGTTTAGGGTTTAGGGTTTAGGGTTTAGGGTTTCTCTCTTGCGGTTTTGCAGCAGCACCAGCTCCATCTCTTCCCCAGGGCGGCTGCTGATGGGCAGGGAGACAGCAGCAAACAACGCCTCTGAGCAGAGGCAGCAGCAACTGCAGCAGCAGCAACAGCAGCAGCAGCAGCAAGGGCAGCAGCCTTTCGGGTCGATGCCCACTGAGGAAATGCTGCATGATACGCAGCAGCTGCCTTATACAGAGTCTGGCAGCGCTGCTGCTGCTGCAGCAGCTGCTGCTGCTGGGAGTCGCCCTGGGTTCAGTACTCCTGAGACGCGCCCTTCCAGCAGGCAGGCAAGCAACAGCAACAACAACAGCAGCAGCAGCAGCAGCAGGCAGCAAGGGCATGCGCAGCAGCATGGAATGCATCGCATGCATGCAGAAGTTCGGCGGCACCGACGGCAGCAGCAGCGGCTTGCGGTGTATAGGGAGCGCTTCCCTCACTTGGTTTACTCCGACACTGAGGTTACGAGTACAACTCCTTTCTGCTGCTGCTCAGCAGCAGCAGCAGCAGCAGCAGCAGCAGCAGATGCAGCAGCAGCAGCAGCAGCGGATGCAGCAGCAGCGGATGCTGCAGCAGCAGGCAGCAGCCATCCGTGGGCGCCAAATGCAGCAGCAGCAGAAGCTGCTAGCTGGGGCTGGGGGGGAGGGGGGCCCCCTACTGTGGGGCCCCCGTACCCTCTGCACTTTCACTTGTGGGCGCTGCATCTCAAAAGGCGGCAGCAGCAGCAGCAGCAAAAAGCTGCTGTTGCTGCTGCTGCGGCTGCTGCGGCTGCTCGCAGACGCGGCTCCGCCTGGGCCTCTCCTGCAGCAGGCAGCGGGTCGCTGCATCAACGAACGCAGCGGCGTCACCATCAAGCAGCAGCAGCACCAGCAGCAGCAGCAACAGCAGCAGCACCAGCAGCACCAGCAGCAGCAGCTGCTGCTGGAGAAATGCGCGAAGAGCCCGAGTGGGGCCCCAGTACTGCTAAGCGGCCCCTCCCTTGCGGCGGCAGCCTCGAAGGAGAAGAGATTATCTTCTTTACTTCTGCTGCTGCTTCGGCTGCTGCTGCTGCTGGGGACGCTGCCGCAGGAGCTGGAGAAGGCAGTGCAGCAGACGTATCCACGCCAGGCAGCAGCAGCAGCAGCAGCAGCAGCAGCAGCAGCAACATGGCCTGCGAGGGCGCCGAGTCGCCGCCAAGCCCGGAGGGTTTGCATCCTCCTTTGCTTGAACAAGGGCCTACAGCAGCAGCAGCAGCAGCAGCAGCAGCAGCAGAACAGTGGCACAGCGGTTTGGAGGAGTGTATGGAGGAGGAGCAGCAGCAGCAGCATTCAGCGTACTGCTCTGAGGGCGTGAAGCCTTCTGGTGTCTCCTCGCCTCCTTTTGTCTCCGTTGCATCAGCTGCTGCTGCTGCTTCTGCTGCTGCTGGTTTAGCAGCAGCAGCAGGAGAAGGTAGTGTTGCTGCTGCTGGAGTACCTGGGGTTGAGGAGGGTGTTGTCTCTTGCTGCAGCAGAATGCGTCGGAGACGTCAGAACCACAGCAGCAGGAGCAGCAGGAGCAGCAGCAGCAGCAGCAGCATGGGACGGCGGCATAAAAATTGTGCATGCAGTATGGAGGAGGGTGTGGGGCTGCCTTTGTGGTGTCTCTACGCTGCTTCTCTTCCTTCTTCGTCTATTCATCCTTCTCTTTTTGTCTCTCTTGAAGAGTATGTCCCTTTCTTTGTGCGTTTACTCGAAGGAGCATATAAACATCCTGCATGCAGACCCCCGGGCTGTACAGGCCTCAACCTCCCAAGGCCCGGTGTCTCTGAAGAAGAATTCCAGGTACCTGCTGCTGCTGCTGCTGCTGCTGCTGCTGCTGCTGTTGATGCTGCTGCTGTTGATGCTGCTGCTGTTGCTGTCGTTGTTGTTGCTGTTGTTTCTGCTGTTGTTGTTGCTGCTGTTGCTGTTGCTGCTGCTGCTGTTGCTGTTGTTGTTGCTGCTGATGCTCTTTTGCTGCTGCTGCTGCTGCTGCTGGTACTTGCAGCTGTGGATGCAACAGAAGCTGCAGGAAGGGACAACAGATATGGCTGAGGTGTACAGCGACCCTACGATGGAGATGGAGCAGCACAAATTATTTCTTCAAGAGACATTTGTTTCTTCTGGTTTTGTTGCTGCTGCAGTTCAGGTGTGTATTTGTTTTGCTTTCTTTTTTTATCTGTCTCCTTTCATCTTCTTTGTCTGTCTCTTTTTGCTGTATCTCTTATCAGTTGTCTGTCTCCTTCACTTTTCTTTGTTTTATTTTACTGTCTCCTTCTTTATTTGCTTTCCATGTGTCTCTTCTTTTATTTTATCTGTCTCCTTGTCTATTTCTCTGTCTCTTTGCTGTCTTTAGCTGTCTCTTCGTCCCCTTTGTATATCTGTTTATTTGAATTATTATATTATTTTAATCTTTAAATTATTTTATTTATTAATTATTTATTTTTTTGTCTGTTTCTTTGGTCATCAGCCCCTAATTTTTACTGTCTCCTTTTTGTCTCCTCTATGTTTGCATGCATGCATGTATGCATGCATGCATGCAGATTATGATATATTTTCTGCTGTTTGTTTGTCTCTCTTTATTTCTTTTTAGGGTCTTATCCGCGGCAGGAGTCGGCGTGCATGTTTGCTGCTGCTAGCAGCAGTTGGTTTGCATGCGCAACCATTTCGTTGTCTCTCTGTCTTTCAACCTGACATAGAAAAACAATTGCTGCAGTCTCCTGCTGCACTCATCTCTGCTCTTCTCTGCTCTATTCCCAAGTACCCTTCTTCACCTGCCGCTGCTGCTCCTGCTGCTGCTGCTGTTGATCGTGCTGCTGTTGCTGGAGGTGGTGGTGGTGGTGCTGCTGCTGCTGCTGCTGTTGATAGTGCTGCTGCTGTTGCTGCTGCTGTTGCGGGGTGTGGCGCTACTGCTGCTGTTATTGCTGCTGTTGTTGGTGCTGCTGCTACGTCGGACCGGGCTGCTGCTTGTGGCGTTGCTGTTGCTGCTGCATTATTATTCCTGCTGCTCATTTGCTTCTGCTTCTGCTGCTGCTGCTGCTGACTGCACCATGCATGCGCTGTTTTTTTTTTCTTCTGAAATATGCCTAAGATGACGAAATCAAAGAAATTAATTTTAAATTTATTTGTTTATCTGTTTGTTTATTTATTTATTTGTTTGTTTGTTCTATTTATTTATTTGTTTATTTATTTGTTTATTTATTTATTTGTTTATTTATTTGTTTATTTATTTGTTTAGGGCATCGCTAGGGCGTCTAGGCGTATCTTTTATAAATGCTGTGGAGACACTGCAGCAGCTGGTGCTCGCCTTCCCGTCTTTGCTTTCTTTTATTTCTACTTCTCATTGGACTAGTCTTTTAGATCTATTTTTTGCGAGAAGGGCTCATCATATCTTTGCTTCTAAGTTTCTATGCATCATAAGGAGGGTAAAAACAAACAAATACACTTCATTTATCTAACTGATGCTGATGCTGTGAATGCTGCTGCAGTTGCTGCTGCTGCTGATGCTGCTGCTGATGCTTCTGCTGCTCATGAATAGTAATTGTTTTTAATGTGGTCGTCGTCTGTTTAGCGGTACAGTGCTTAGGAATATAACGCACAAGTGCATGCATTATTGATGCATGCATTTATGCATGCATAATGTATCTATTTATGTATATGCATTTTTGCATGCGTTGATGCATGCATGCATGCATGCATGCATTTGAGTGTATGTTTTGTATGCATGCATGCATTGATGGTTGCATTTATTTACGCATGCATTGATGCATGCATGCATGCATGAATGGATGCATTTATGCATTCGAGTGTAAGTATGTTTGCATGCATGCATGCATGCAATATATTGGTGCATGCATGCATCCATGCATTTGAGTGTATGTATATTTGCTTGCATCTGTGCATTCATCCAATATATTGATGCATGCATGCAATATATAGATGCATGCATGCAATATATAGATGCATGCATGCATTGATGCATGCATTTGAGTGCATGTATATTTGCATGCATGCATGCATTCATGCATGCATATGCATATGCATGCAGGCGTTGGATGCGGGTAGCGAATCAACGCAGCGATGTTTATTAGAAGACTGCCGCCTCCTCGATCGCCTTGATGCTGCTGTTTGTGAATATAGAAATAAGCAAACGCAGCTTAAAAGGCCTCCATGTCAGTTGCTGCTGTTGCTGCTGCTGCTGCTGCTCGTGCTGCTTCTCCTGCTGCTGCTGTTGATGCGGTTGCTGCAGCAGCTGCTGCTGATTCTGTCGTTGCTGCTGCTGCTGCTCCATTGGTGCTGCTGCTGTTGTATCCGTTGCTGTTGCATGGTGAGTTGCTGCTGTTGCTGTTGCTATTGCTGCTGTTGCTGCTGCAGCTGAGGGCTTGGGGGCGATCGTAGACCTGCTTATACACCTCAGCCTCCTCGTGCAGCTTGAAGGCAGTGCAGCTTCTTTCTGCCCTTCTTCGCCTTCTTCTGGTGTTACAACACC